GGCAGTTGTCAGCCAATTGTGAAGCAACTGGGATGAGAATCAGCACCTCCAAGTCCGAGGCCATGGTTCTCAGTCAGAAATTTGCTCCCTTTGGCTTTGTGGAGAGTTCCTGCCTCAAGTGGAGGAGTTCAAGTATCTTGGGGTCTTGTTCACGAGTGAGGGAAGGATGGAACGGGAGATTGACAGGCGGATCGGTGCAGCGGTAATGCGGTGGATGTACCGGTCCGTCATGGTGAAGAAGGAGCTGAGCTGTAAGGCGAAGCTCTCGATTTACTGGTTGATCTACGTTCTGACTCTCATCTATGATCATGAGATTTGCGTCATGACTGAAAGGGCAAGATCCCGGATACAGGCGGAAAAAAAAACAATACAACCATGGAACAATCAGCAATAAATAACAATAAAAGACAACAAGAACAACCAATAAACAACTACCCTTTTAAAAGGCTTACATACATCATGTCATTATTAATATCTCATTTATCTCTAGCAATTTGTTACATATACCTAAGCTCTACCTTACTTTAATTTTCCTCTGGTTTGTGTTTCAGCAAAGAAGACATGGGTGCACTGCGAGGGAAAAATGAGTTCCCTTAAGGTACAGAGCTGCTTTTCATATCAGAAAATCATATGACTTATTATGAAACTACTCTCATCTCCTTTTACTCTTGCCAAATTTTGTTCTAAATGTTTTTGACAACATGTAATAGACTAGCTCCTGTTTACAATGACAATACACAGCATTTTGATGTTGCACTTTGTTTTCAGTGTTTGATATAATATTTACAACAAATAGGAGAATGTAGTGTAGTGGGTTAGTAAAAGAAACCTGTCAGGTACAGCCTTTCTTTCAAAAATGACTGTTTTACATTTGAACGGGAGCTTGTTCTGGAATCAATGTCAGAACAACTGCCCTATCATCATCAGTAGAAATTGGTAGCAAGCCAGCAAAATCATAACAGGAAGAAAGATATGGCACAGCGATACTGGACAAAAATGAAGAATCAGCTTCATTTCATGGGTTCAGTGTTCACAGACTGAGAAGATGAGAGAAAAAGCTGAAAGAATGACTTGAATAACATCCCATCCATTCCATCCATTTTTCTCCGCTTATCTGGAACCGGGTCGCGGGGGCAGCAGTCTAAGCAAAGATGCCCAGACTTCCCTCTCTCCAGACACTTCCTCCAGCTCCTCCGGGGGAATGCCAAGGCGTTCCCAGGCCAGCTGAGAGACATAGTCCCTCCAGCGTGTCCTGGGTCTTCCCCAGGGCCTCCTCCCGGTGGGACATGCCCGGAACACCTCCCTAGGAAGGCGCCCA